CCCCCCCCTCGCCGTTTCGCCCCTGGTGGAGCTAGCGCGTCGCGGAAAAAACGAGCGTGTGCGCCGTTACGAGACGCAGAGATTGGTACCCGATTTTAAGGTCCTAGGTCAACCGGTGACCTCTGAGGTCAGGTCAAGTGCCCCAGGGTACGGTTCAGTTTTTGGTGAATAGCTTCGCAAAAAACGGCCGCAGAGCCGCGATTTTGGCAGCATCGTGTTCGCCTTGATCAGGCGCGTCGAATGATATACTTTTTGTCCGGGTCAGGTCAACTTGGGGTGTTGACCTCAGGTCAAGGTCAGGTCAGCACCCCCAGGTCACGAAGTTGGTCGAAAGAGGTCAAATGTCGCATATCATTCGATTCGGCAGGTCTTCCTGAGTCCATTGGTGGCTTTCCCGACTCGCTAGCTCAATTTGATCGGGAGTTATTGACGAAAAACTAATATGACCTTGATGACGTCATAAATGACGTCACGGAAGGTCAACATTGCAAAAGTGACGCATCTGACCTTGCAAGGAGTGCATCAAATCACGATTCTGTGTGCTTGAGATAGTTGGAGATCGTTCCCGTCGCCAGAATAGCAGTTTGAATTTTTCCCCATTGACTTATAATGGTGAGGTCACGAAAATGACCTGACCTCATATGACCTTTAGGAAAAATCCGAGATATACAAGTTGTGAGACTCATAATGGATACTAGATCCTGCAAGTTTCATTTCCCTGTGACATCTCCTCTGGCAGTGAGGGCGTTGCGAAGTTGCGACATCTGAAGACCGTGCAGAGGTTCACTTATGACGTCATAGGTCAGTGACCTGACCTGACCCAAAAATGCGGTTGGTGTCAAAAGATGCGGCTTGGATCAAAGGTCAGGTATGCCAAGTTTCAGCTCTCTATCGCCAGCGTGTTCGGAGCTATCGCGAAAAAACCCTATGGGGGGGGGCGGCACCCGCCCCCCCCCCTCGGCCGGCGAGGGTTAAAACTTTCGGTGATTGCTTAGGGTAATAGTGTGTATAAAATGGATACCTCGGATTTTGTATATCTGTGACCTAAGGTCACGTCAATTTTGCGACTGCTCCATTAGGTATAAGTCAATGGGAGAAAATTGAAATGCGCCTCTTTTGGACGAATTTCGTTTTACACCCACTCAAACATCGGTCCATAGGTAAACATGACATACTGAATCGGAAAATCGCACCTGTGACCCCTGTGTGTGCCCCTGAGGTCATTTTAGGACATAAAAGGTCTTCAGCAGTTTTTTACTTTTGACAGAGACGTGCTAGAGCGGTGAAAACACCGTTGATCCGAGGTCAAATTTGAGGTCAATCAGAGCGGTGCCCTCTGGGGGCTAAACCGTTGATCTGAGGTCAAATTTGAGGACATGTTGGCGAAAGAAGCTATCGAATGCGCTTTTCTGCGGCGCTGTAGCTCTATTGGTTCCCAAGTTAGCCGTCGGGTGTTCAAAATCGTTGAAATCAACAAAATTTGACCTTTGATGAATCCTGGTGACCTGACCTTTACTCGGACCTTAAAATGACCGAGTGTTTTCCTCCTTATTTTTGACGCTCTTTCGATTGCCGCTTACCGCGTGTCGCTACGTGGCCCAGGAGCCGAGTTAGACGGAGGGGCGTGAAACGCCCCCCCCCCCCCCCAGCACTCGACGGAAAGTTCATGCCACCGACACGGCGCGGGTTTGTTATGCTAGCTAGCTCCTGTTGTAAGCTGTGGAGTCGTGGACCTGATTTTGAATGAACTGGGCCTAACCTTTTCACAGCAAACGTAAAAAATGTTAAATAGGTTGTGCAAAAATAGAATCTCTTTTATGAAACATTTGCGAAACCTTCAACATCATCCCCAGACCCCATTAGTGCCGAGCTCCCAACGACGACCATAAAAGCGTCCCCATCCCGTCTTAGGCGGCGGAACGGGAAGGGCACCGGGGCACCGTGCCCCTTTTGATTTTTGCATTTCAACATTAGCCCTATGAGCGTTGCATGGAAATAATAGGACCAAAAGTCGGCAGTGCCCCCCCCCTAATTGAAGGTGTTCCGCCGCTACTGCATCCCGTCAACGTGGGTTTATCATAAGGATGCTAAGATTTAATTTCAAATCCGAAGCTGTAATGATGAAAAGCAAATTTACGTTTTACATGTGAAACAAGCTGACACAACTAAATATTTCCTCTCTCTCGCTCCCTCTCACTGATTTACCCATTGCCCTCTATCTCATTTTACCCTCTCTGGTTTTCCTATTCTGTCTCTCTTTTCTCTCCTTCCGTCCTTATCCCTTCCCTCCAGTCTCTCTCTCTCTCTCTCTCTCTCTCTCTCTCTCTCTCTCTCTCTCTCTCTCTCTCTCTCTCTCTCTCTCTCTCTCTCTCCCTCTCTCTCTCTCTCCCTCCCTCTCTCTCTCTCGCTCTCTCTCTCTCGCTCTCTCTCTCTCTCGCTCTCTCTCTCTCGCTCTCACTCTCGCTCTCTCTCTCTCTCTCTCTCTCTCTCTCTCTCTCTCTCTCTCTCTCGCTCTCTCTCTCTCGCTCTCTCGCTCTCGCTCTCGCTCTCGCTCTCTCTCTCGCGCTCTCTCTCGCCCTCTCTCTTGCTCTCTCTTGCTCTCTCTCGCTCTCTCTTGCTCTCTCTCGCTCTCTCTCGCCCTCTCTCTCTCTTTCTCGCTCTCTCGCTCTCGCTCTCTCTTGCTCTCTCCCTCTCTCCCTCTATCTCTCTCTCTCTCTCTCTCTCTCTCTCTCTCTCTCTTTGTCTCCCTCTCCCTCTCTCTTTCTCTCTCTCCCTCTCTCTCCTCTCTTTCTCTCTCTCCTCTCTCTCCCTCTCCCTCTCCCTCTCTCTATGTCCTCACAATATTCTCGACTGTCACAGCGCTGTAGGGCTTGTTTCCAGACAGGTCCAGGCGCTCTCCACTCCGCAGGCCCCAGCCCACACGGCCCAACCGCTCAAACACCCTCCGGCGGATGACCTCTGACGTCGGCGACCTGACCCCAGCCGACCGATCGCGTCCCCCTCCACGCCTCCGCCCCGCTTCCCCCACTACAGCTGCGTAGTAATTGTAGCGTGTGCAAAGGTCACGTGACATTATTTACTTCTGCGGCTTGTTCGGCTGACAAGAGATGGCACTAGTGGTCTGTGGATCAGAGGCGGGGCTAGGTTCTACGACTTCTTGGGGCACACTTTAGGGCAGAAAAGAGGTTTTTTGGCTCTCCATCCCAAAATGCTTCGAATATACAAAAACAAGTTAGTTATTCGAAAATCGGAGGACCAAACGGATCGTTTGACGTATCTTGCGCGACTGAGAATTGATCGGTCTTCAAACTACTGAACAAAAACGAGGTGATTAGTAGCAAGTGCTGGTGACTGTACCTTAATCGGTACTGGACAGCCTCAGGGGAGGTAACGATGTACTCCAGGACACGTAAGGCCTTGAAAGTAAATCCCAGGGTTTAAGGAGAGTTCCTGAGGAGAGTTCCAGGATATGAACGGTGGTCCCTGGGTCGTGAACGGAGGTGTTACACGCGGACCGGAAGAGGGCATAGGTAATCTCTCCCGGATAGAGAGATAAGTCGGATGTAAATCGCGTATATGTGTACCATAGGTCTATCGGACGTGTGTGGATCCCATAAAGTAGTAGGGTGGATATTTGTGCAATTATTCTGGACGGCCCTGCGATAAGTATCTTTGTCGCCGGTTAGCGGAGCATGCATATGGATTTCGGAAAGAGACATTTATCTCGCCGGGGAGATCGTCGTCAGCCAGACACCTAACACTATCGGAGGGAATTTCGGGGGCTGCTAAATCGATTGGGGTGAGTGAATGGAGAGCAAATGCTTTGTGTGGATGAGCGTAAGAATGATGAAGGATAAATCTTAGGATAAGGCCGATAGGAGTTAAGCAGAACTCAGGTTGGGCAGTCAAGCTAATTATTCTCGAGGGCAGCTAAACTAGCAACGCTAATACGAATTAAGTGGGCAAATTTTCGTAATGGGGAGGCCAGTGATATAGGAATGGGTGACTGGACGAATGATCACATTCAATTTATCAATGTAATTACCACCCATATGTTTGGCAGTGGTCATCGGGACTCCGAATGCCCTGTCCTTCACCTGCCCAACTGTGCCGCAAACCCAGCTGATCGGATCCCTCTATCCCGAATCCGAGCAGTGAAGAAGCATCTCGTGCATCATGGTCTATACAATGAACAGAATCATCAAGCCTCTAAATTAAAAAAACATCTTCCATCAGATGTATTTGTACGCAAGGTGGATCCCTATCTACATCTCTCCCAGGTGGACGTCATCTCAAGATCTCTATCTGGATGCCCACATCCCTATCAGGTGGATCTCATCACCATCTGGATCCCTCTCTATAGCCATCTCAGGATCTTTAGATCACTATCTGGATATCTCATCTATCTCAGGATCCCATCACTACTTGGATCTCTATCTAGATCTTTCTCGGGATCTTTTCCAAGACTCGCAAGTTCCCGTGTATCACCAGCTCTACTATCGAGTTCATTACGGCAGCAAATTGTTCTCTCTTTTCTGCTAAACCAGCCGAACAACAGAGGACCGCAGTATTTGATGAACCGCAAAGAAGATGCAGCTATTTTATTCCTCCTTTCTTCTTTTCTCTAAATCCCCTCGCTACAGTAGCTGCAATGACCAAACTAATAATTCGTAAAGCTAGATTTTCTCGTTGAGGCCGGCAAAACAGTAGATGTGTTAATTGGCATAAACATTTCTGATCGCTTATGCCTACAATACGTGACTGCAAAGGAAAAGGTTCTAGCCCGATCTAGCAAATCTAGCCTGATCGCCGTGGTGTTGTAAGGCACAGTACCTATCAGTCCTGCCAACTGTCTCGATGAACCACGCAATCTGAGTGAGATACCTAAATTTGACACGGCTAGATCTGATCCGATTGTCAAAAGCCGGCACTCCGCCCGCACCAACTAGGTGGCCTCGCTGCCCCGCTGGTCGTTGGCGAGGCATGGCCTGAGTGCTCACCATATGTAGAGCAGCGTCACCAGACTGGGGATGCTGATGGCCAGCTGCACGTAGCGCCAGTGGCCGACGCAGTGCTGGCACAGAGTCAGCAGCAGGCCGCCGAGCGCCCAGCAGAACTGGGCGCCGGCCGCCGCCGCCGGCCGCTGGTCGGCGGGCACCAGTTCCGCCAGCATCAGCCAGCTGCTGCCCTCCAGACCCTGCCAGCAGAGACACCAGCATCAGCCAGCTGCTGCCCTCCAGATCCTGCCAGCAGAGACACCAGCATCAGCCAGCTGCTGTCCTACAGATCCTGCCAGCAGAGACGCCAGCATCAGGCAGCTGCTGCCCTCCAGACCCTGCCAGCAGAGACGCCAGCATCAGACAGCTGCTGCCCTACAGGCCCTGCTAACAGAGACGCCAGCATCAGACAGCTGCTGCCCTCCAGACAGACCCTGCCAGCAGAGACGCCAGCATCAGCCAGCTGCTGTCCTACAGATCCTGCCAGCAGAGACACCAGCATCAGCCAGCTGCTGTCCTACAGATCCTGCCAGCAGAGACACCAGCATCAGCCAGCTGCTGTCCTACAGATCCTGCCAGCAGAGACGCCAGCATCAGGCAGCTGCTGCCCTCCAGACCCTGCCAGCAGAGACGCCAGCATCAGACAGCTGCTGTCCTACAGATCCTGCCAGCAGAGACACCAGCATCAGCCAGCTGCTGCCCTACAGACCCTGCCAGCAGAGACGCCAGCATCAGGCAGCTGCTGTCCCCCAGACCCCGCGGCGGCAGCGACGGGCTGAGCGCGCCGCGGGCCCACAGCCGCTCCGGACCGCAGTCGCCGCGGAACACAGCCGCTCCGGACCGCAGTCGCCGCGGAACACAGCCGCTCCGGATCGCAGTCGCCGCGGAACACAGCCGCTCCGGACAGCAGTCGCCGCGGAACACAGCTGCTCCGGACCGCAGTCGCCGCGGAACACAGCCGCTCCGGACCGCAGTCGCCGCGAAACACAGCCGCTCCGGACCGCAGTCGCCGCGGAACACAGCCGCTCCGGACCGCAGTCGCCGCGGAACACAGCCGCTCCGGATCGCAGTCGCCGCGGAACACAGCCGCTCCGGACCGCAATCGCCGCGGAACACAGCCGCTCCGGACCGCAGTCGCCGCGGAACACAGCCGCTCCGGACCGCAGTCGCCGCGGAGCACAGCCGCTCCGGACCGCAGTCGCCGCGGAACACAGCCGCTCCGGAACACAAACAGCGAGAACCAACCCTGGCTGTGTTTGATGCGACTTCACTCCATGGACTTCGCTTGATGGTTGATAAAGAAAAGTAGGTATGACCAAAAGCTACCAATGCAATCGCCGGACAGGACGGGGGAAACTAGGGGTATTAGAGCACTCGGCTGACTTGGCTCCTGGGGCACGTAGTGACAAGCGGTAGACGGCATTCAAAAGAAAGTAAAAAAAAAAATCAGGAAGAAATTACTTCGGTCAATATGTGGGTCATGTCATTGGCAAGGCCACCAGAGACCACCAAAGGTGAAATTTGGCTTTTTTTTAACCATTCCTTTGTAGCACAATGCAGTTTTATCTAAGGGAATAACACATGTGAGTTTTGCCTTAGCTCTGGGCACCCCCAACCATTTTCACAAATTGACACCCTTGAACCTCAGGTCACCAAAAATATTTTCCACTTTTCCCTTGGAAACGCTGCACAACCGTGCTAATAATTTGTATTTTCCTATAAAACTGTATTTTTGTCAGGTATTTGAAGTTCACGTTTATGACGCCGAAGTTTGCCGTGCTGGGATCTAGAAAAATCGATCCTGTGACGTCATCAAGGGTGATAAGTACAATTTTTTACTTCAGAAGATGTCAAATTGATGGGGGAAAAGGTACTGAAAGTATCCTTTTCCTATCCCTAACCGCTCGGGAGCTATCGCCAATATTCACCAGGGGAGGGGGCGAAAAACGCTCTTCTCCCGGACCCGCGACGGTTAAGACCCGATATTCGGAATCAGGGTCACAAACAACCTGTAAACACTTATTTTCGAAAATATCTGAAGGGTGCCATGGTCACCAGTGGCATGACATGGAAAGGCACAGAATTGGCACGAATGTGTTTCTCACAGTTCACTTTAACCCTCGCCCGTATGGAGGGGGGGGGGGATCGAACGGACCCCTCGGTTTTCCGCAAATAATCCGCGTAAAAGCGGCCCATCGCGACGAAACCTTCAGTACCTTCTCGTTAATAAATTTTACACCTAGATTTCTGAAACTTTCATGAACCTGAACCAAATGACCTTTGACCTGTGACCTCTTTTCCAAGACCATGTTTGGCCGGAATCGCGATTCGGCGTATGTCGGCTCGCATTAGCCGCATGTTTGCAGTCTTTTCGTGGTTTTAAGCGTTCAACCATGTGATATTATGCTGCTCCCATGCATTAGGGTGGGTGTCAAGGTCACTTGAAGGTCAGGTCAGGTCATTGACCTTTGAAGACTTCGGCTTACTCTTCGAGCTTTAATGTTCCTGGGCTAGGTTTGGAGCTGAATTCGAATTTAATAACCATTTGAACATTTACGAAGTTGTTTTGATGCCTTCGTAACATGTAACATGTTACGAAACTGTCAGAGGCGGTTGACACGTACTACGAATACCCGGCAGGACCCCCACTGGTTGACTTGACTTGACCTGGCCCGATCTGACCTAAATACATGAAGACATCATCTGTGATCAAAACTAGCATGATATTCGTGATCAGCACCCCGGAAAAAAACCATAGCAGCCACACTTTACGACGTTCTAACAGGTCCCGACTTACCCGACTTTTGGGTCATTGACCTGACCTGGAAGGTCAACCAATGACCTAGGACCTTAAAATCGGGTATCATCGGCTTCCTCTCATCACGGCCAACACGCTCGTTTTTTTTTTCCGCGAGGCTCTAGCTCGATCAGGGGACAAACGGCAAGGGGTTCCAACGGACCCCCCCCCCCATACGTTCGCGGTTGGCAAAACACCAATAGGTACGGGCGAGGCTAAAAATTGACATCAAGCCTAGGTAAGTTCATGGATGAAGATCAGATCAGAGACCTCTTGCACCAAACTACCTAGCTAGGTAAAATCGAAAAACCGGTTTCAGAATAAGCTAATCTAACGGTGGTAAATTTGTTTGCAATAGCCCAATACATAATCCTACATGTGCTTGCAAAATTTTGCATGCAAATTGTTACATTTGAGACTTGGACTGGGTATACGATGCAAAATAATCCAAGCATTGGTGCAAGAGGATTTTGGTGCAAGAGGCCTCAGGTCCCAATATAGGTACAGTCCACAGCAGAAGTAATGTGGGGTTTCAGTCATGGGTATGTTCTGCTTCTGAAGCTTAGGAACGATTAGCCAGACCACAATGAAACTTTGAATGTAGCTTATATGCATCGTCACCCTTGCAGCTGCAACTTAAGCTATTGACATCTTCTTTTCGACCACTCCGCATTAAACAATCGCCAGTTAAAGCCAACCGTTGAGATTAGTAAAACCCTACATTACTTTAGCGGTGGGCTGTACATAGTCAATGTCATGTTGCATATCAAACGAGCGCCTTACCTGAATAAAGAAGCCCTGCAGTGTTCGCAGGCCGATGAATACGACCAGCCTACGGACGAAGAACAGGCCGACTCCGATGACGAGCTGGGTGTAGAGGCAGAGCAGCATGACGGGCTGGCGACCAAACCTGGCGGCGCCGCAGGGGTGCGCTCAGAGCTGAGAGCCCGCTCAGCCGCCGCAGCGGTGCGCTCAGAGCCCGCTCAGCCGCCGCAGGGGTGCGCTCAGAGCCCGCTCAGCCGCCGCAGGGGTGCGCTCAGAGCCCGCTCAGCCGCCGCAGGGGTGCGCTCAGAACCCGCTCAGCCGCCGCAGGGGTGCGCTCAGAGCCCGCTCAGCCGCCGCAGCTGGATGGTGGCGACTGCGACACAGAACGGCACACAAACACCCGGGCCGGACAGGACAGCGCACAAACACCGGGGGCGGACAGGACAGCGCACAAACACCGGGGGCGGACAGGACAGCGCACAAACACCGGGGGCGGACAGGACAGCGCACAAACACCGGGGGCGGACAGGAACAGGACACAAACACCGGGGGCGGACAGGAGCGGCACACAAACACCGGGGGCGACACAGGACAGCGCACAAACACCGGGGGCGGACAGGAACGGCACACAAACACCGCGGGCGACACAGAACGGCGCAAAAACACCGGGGGCGGACAGGACAGCGCAAAAACACCGGGGGCGGACACTGGACAGGAACGGCACACAAACACCGCGGGCGACACAGAACGGCGCAAAAACACCGGGGGCGGACAGGACAGCGCAAAAACACCGGGGGCGGACACTGGACAGGAACGGCACACAAACACCGGGGGCGGACAGGACAGCGCGCAAACACCGGGGGCGGACAGGAATGGCACACAAACACCGGGGGCGGACAGGAACAGGACACAAACACCGGGGCGGACAGGAACGGCACACAAACACCGGGGGCGGACAGGACAGCACACAAACACCGGGGGCGGACAGGAACGGCACACAGTCCAGAACCAGGGAAGAACAGGGACCGGCGACCGCACTAGGGGTGCCAATCGGAACGGGAAATTCAACCTTTGGAATTTCGATCTTGTCCAATGCCCAATTCGGAATTTGGTTGCACGAAGGCAACAGGCTTTGGATAACGTTTAACAGTCACTTGCCACAGCTCAGAATTTTTATGAAGTAAACGCGCATAATATTGATTGGCGAATAGAATGTTCAGCTCTCGTTATGATAAACATTTCTGGGCCAGTAATAGAATAGGTATACAATATACTCGTACATTATACATACCGGGTGGCCTAGAAAAACGTTTCCAACTTAAAATCAATATTTCTCAGAAAGTGATGACGATACAACATTACAACTTCCAATAGTCAATGCGGCATATATTTTCAGCAAATGGTATGATTTTTATGTTATTCGGTCAATTACTTTTTAAACGGCTCGTGTTTTAGCATGCCAAGTAAAAAATACTTTTTTGCTCAGATGTTTACTAAAAATGTGAGTGAACGGGCCACTTTCATCTCGGTACCACGGCCTGCAGGCATGACTGCTACTGGCAACTAGTCTCATTGATGGTTCAGGCCTCAGGGTGACACATTCCCTCTAGCTTTTTTCCTTATTCGGTCGATTTACTGTTTGATCTTCTTGAAGGGGGGGGGGGCGATCAGCAGTAACCCATGCACCGTGCCACTCCTGCTTGAAACAGGACTTGTTGAAACGAATGGCATCCATTAACACTATTTTGGCTCAGTATTTGACTGTTCGGGACATAAGTGGGACAAAAATATTTAAAATAGCACACGTGCTGGTTTCATTCACGTGTTCTATTTTCCTTTTTTTCTAGCATGAGACGTCTAAGCCAATCAATACCGTTCAACATCGGCAAAAAAGCAAAAACGTCTTACTTAATTCAACATAAGATTGCTGACTAGAAAATGATGGTACAATGTTATAATTTGGCATACTAGTGCGGAAAGAAGTGATGCAATCGTGATAAAAATTTTGGCTCGTTATTTGCACTCAAATTTGAGATATATGCCTCCAAAGTTCGGAAGGTTTTGGGGGGCCACCCGGTACATTAAAAGCCAATTAAACAACAGTAGTGAGTGTGAATTTGTAGTGTTGTGCGTAGTATTGTGTGACGCGCTAGCGTCGTAGTTCGGTCTAAGCCTGACGGCTCACGACGTACTGTACGTTATGACGCAGCCCCGCCCGCGTGACTGGGCGGCGCTGACCGTTGACGGGTCGTGCGGCGCCGGCGGCGCTCAGTCTGACACCGGCCACGAGAGCAGAGGAGCGGCTGCCGAGGCTGGTAGACGCCGAGCCAGCTCACTGGGCTGGAGTCTGTTATGTAACGTTATCGCCGTTTGTTCTTATTTTAATATCATGGTGGTGGCTAAACAGTGAGTTTGAAGGACGTGGAACTGGACGGAAGCACACGGGAGGACTCGACACTACATTTTGGCGACGAGGATGTTTCAAGCAACCCCACCGAGTGAGTACTTGTCGATCGCGGGTCAGAAGCCTACTTTGCCGTGGAAGCAGTGGTACGCTGACTTCCTGATCTATGGTGAGGCTAGCGGATGGCATGATTGGCCAGCTGGTAGGAAGAAGGCTTTGTTATTGCACTGCGTTGGCACAGAGGCCCGTAGGCTGTTCAGAGCGATTGAATCAGTCGAGTCTTCTGTTGAGTCAGACGCTGACATCAAGGATGACCCCACGTCAATGTACGACAGTACAGTAAAGATCTTGGAGAAGTTGTTTGTAAAAGACGCTGATGTACGAACTGAAAGGGTAAGATTCAGACGATGTGTTCAACAGCCGGGAGAAACAGCTCTCGTCTATCTTGCAAACTTGAAAGAAGCTGTTCAAAGATGCTCTTTTGGTGATCTGATCTGAGGGACGAAATGGTTAGAGACCAGTTCATTGAGGGATGTCTGTCTGACCAGCTGCGTGACAAGCTTCTTTTGAAGGATAACCTGACCCTGGAGAAGCTGGAGGACATCGCCGAGGCGGTCGATCGTGGTCTTCAGCGGCGAGGCGTCCTGAGAGGTGCTGCAGAGGGATCAACCGGTCCAGCAGCTGCGCAGGTAGCAGAAGTCGGACCAGCTGCTGAACAGCAAGAAGAGGTATGTGAACCCGTTCGCAGCCTCCGGTACGGTCCATGCTATGCCTGTGGTAGGAGAGGACACCGGTCGGGTGATAGGAGATGCCCTGCAAAAGAGAAGCAGTGTTACAAATGCCATGAGACAGGTCATTTCAGTCGTTGCTGTCGTACAAAGCGGAATGACACAGATGCTAAAGATCGTCAGGTGGGGGCAGTACAGGTGCTTACCGTTCAAAAGAGCATGCCTTCGAACTGTCCGTGGTACACCGTTGGCATTGGAGGTCATGACGTGTCGATGATGGTGGACACAGGTGCAGCAGTCAGCATCATACCCACGCAGCTGTATCGGGAGACCTTGAGTAAGTTTCCGCTGACCAGGGCCACGGTAAAGCTAGAAGCGTATGGCGGTGCGGGCATCAGCGTGCAGGGAGTCTTCAGCGCTTTAGTAACAACCCCGTGTGGTCGACAGACAGAAGGAGAGTTCTATGTAGCTGATGCTGAGATTCCCTTGCTAGGAAGAGACCTGCAGAGGACACTTGGAGTGACTGTGAAGAATGGAACTGATGTTTGTCTTGTCCAACAGACCAGCCAGCTCCCAGCAATCAACGGCTTCGTCCACAAGGTCAGGCTTCGGGCTGACGTGGAGCCTGTGAAGAAGAAGCTGCGGTCACTGCCCTACGCTGTGAGGGAGGACGTCACCAAGCACCTGCAAGAGCTGGAGGAGCAAGGTGTGATCGAGAAGGTCGGCAAACACACCTCGCCGTGGCTCTCTCCGATCGTGGCCGTCCGTAAACGGAACGGTAAGCTTCGAGTTTGCCTTGATCTGACTGAGGTAAACAAAGCAGTGATCGCGAACGGTCATCCGATCCCAGATATGCAGGAAATGCTAGACCGTCTTCAGGGAGCAGTTGTCTTCTCTTCATTAGACATGAAAGCTGCGTACCATCAACTAGAGCTGCACGAGAGCTCCCGTGATCTGACTGCATTCATTCATGAAGGACAGGTGTGGAGATATAAACGTTGCCCTTTTGGTCTGAAATCGCTGCCCCAGTGCTTCCAAAAGATGATGGAATGTGTGTTGGAAGGGCTGGAGGGCGTTCAAGTGTATCTCGATGACGTGATTGTATCTGGCAGATCACAGGAGGAGCACGACCAGCGTCTCAGGAGGGTGATCGAGCGGATGCAGGCCAGAAACATCACCTTGAACTGGGACAAGTGCAGGATTTGCGTCTCATCGGTTGAGTTTCTTGGATTCGCAGTTTCTCCGAAGGGGGTGGCAGTCTCTGAAGAGCGCGTTCAGGGCCTTCGAGACCTACAGCAGCCGACTGATAAGAAGAAGCTTCAGTCAGTCCTGGGAACCCTAGGGTTCTACGCGAAGTTCGTCAAGAACTACAGCACCCGGGTTGAACCTCTGAGACGGCAGCTCCGCAAAGACGCGCCGGAGTTTGCCTGGACGCCGGAGATGTCGGCAGCGCTGAAGGACGTCACTGAGGCCATCCTGCAGTCGAACGCGCCGGCGATGTTCGACCCGGCACTTCAGACGATCGTCACAACCGACGCCAGCGACGTGGGACTCGGTGCTGTCTTGTCTCAGATGCACCCAGAAGGTGAGCGAGTAGTCTGTTTCGCATCAAGCACATTGAGTCAAACGCAGAGGCGCTACAGCGTTTCGGAGAGGGAAGCACTTGCCTGTGTCTGGGCATGTGAAAAGTGGCATAAGTACCTCTGGGGGCGAGACTTTATCCTGAGAACAGACCATGCTGCGCTGCGCACCTTGATCACAGCGAATGGGATCGGACGTGCTGGAATGCGTATGTCAAGATGGGCTAGCCGGCTGATGACTTACTCTTTTTCAGTCCAGCATCTGAAGGGGGTGCTCAACCCGGCTGATGGATTCTCCCGTGCACCAGGTCCAGCGGTGGAAGTGGAAGACGACGAATCTCAGCTGGTTGCCTCGCTGTCTTCACGACTGACGGCGGTGAGCAGCGGAGAACTGGCCGATGCTGTCGCGTCCGACCCGGTGCTGGTCAAGCTGTCTGAGCAGCTCACCCGAAGTTGGTCAAGTCGCATAGGTGAGGTCCCACCTGAATTGAAGCCATTCTTCCGATGTCGTGATGAGTTAAGTCTGATGGGTGGCCTCATTTTCAAGGGAGAGCGGGTGGTAGTACCAGAGTGTCTGAGGGAGAGATTGGTGGCCCTGGCACATGAGAGCCACCCGGGGATCATACGTACCAAGCAGCGCCTGCGGGCAGTGTACTGGTGGCCAGGTCTTGATGCTGCTGTAGAGACGGCCGTGAAGGAGTGTGATGCATGCGCCCTGTCTGACAAAACGGTGAAGTCACGCAGAGCACCGCTGATGCCAGTCCCGTTCCCGGATGTTGCCTGGGACAAGCTGGGCATCGACTTCATCGGCCCGATGCAAGGACCGCTGCATCAAAGGTATGCCATCGTGATGGTTGATTATTATTCGAAGTGGGTCGAAATGGCATTCACAAGGGAGCCATCAAGTGACGCAGTGATCGAGTTCATGGATGTAGTGGCCTCCCGAGAGGGACTTCCTAAAGAAGTTGTCACAGATAACGGAACGCATTTTACGTCAGACAAGTTCACGACTTACCTCCAGAGTATGGGCATTGATCACATTCGCGTGTCTCCTTACCATCCAGCAGGGTCAGGAGCGGTGGAGCGGATGAACCGGAGCATCAAGGCGGCCCTGCAGATGGCGGACTTGGAGGGCGTCGACCGACGAAGGTACATGCAGACGTTTCTGCAGAACTACAGGGCAACACCTCATGCTACTACCGGTAAGAGCCCATCGGAGCTGCTACACGGTCGGCAGCTACGAACAAAGCTGGAGGTGGCTGCTGATGTCCGATCTGGCGTGCAGAGCGGTCGCTTGTCTGACGACCAGGCTGTGAGGGATCGCGTGGCTGATAAGCAGCTGGCGCAGAAGAAGTTGTGGGATGCACGTAACCGGGCTCGTGTTCCTGATTTCGCTGTAGGAGACTGGGTGCGGTATAAGCTGATGCCCCGGCCCCGAAAGGGGCATGTTCGTTTCTCAGGTCGCCGACAGATCGTGCAACAGACGGGCCCGGCTTCGTACCGCCTGGACGACGGCACCAGAATCCACGCTGAGCGGCTCTCCAGGTGGACACCGTCGATGGAGCCGTCAGAGACGGAGGCGGGCGGTGCGCCTCGCGGGATCGGCGGGGGCACTGAGACACTGTGTCCGGCGGATCGCGACGTCCGCCGTCGAGTGCCGTCGCGGGCACCATCTCTGAGTCGAGGTGACTGTATTTCGTGTCATGGGACTGATTCTGACTCGAGTGAGGAAGTGGACCCGTCAGATGAACCCCTAGAGCGTGCGTCGCCGTTATCACCTCCAGCGTCCACTGCAGTGCAACGGCAGTCGCCAACCGTCGGGGGCGACGGAGTGTCACGCTTTACGCGATCAGGTCGTCGTTATTATTGTGAGGGGCAAATGTAGTGTTGTGCGTAGTATTGTGTGACGCGCTAGCGTCGTAGTTCGGTCTAAGCCTGACGGCTCACGACGTACTGTACGTTATGACGCAGCCCCGCCCGCGTGACTGGGCGGCGCTGACCGTTGACGGGTCGTGCGGCGCCGGCGGCGCTCAGTCTGACACCGGCCACGAGAGCAGAGGAGCGGCTGCCGAGGCTGGTAGACGCCGAGCCAGCTCACTGGGCTGGAGTCTGTTATGTAACGTTATCGCCGTTTGTTCTTATTTTAATATCATGGTGGTGGCTAAACAGTGAGTTTGAAGGACGTGGAACTGGACGGAAGCACACGGGAGGACTCGACACTACAGAATTGTTGCGTAGTTTTCGAACATCTTTGGACAATGGCTGCCTTGAGCATTTTTGGAAAGACAGCCGACAAAAGTATTGGACATTGGACGGACGATGGACATGCATTTACTGAAGATGGCACCACTAGACCGCACAAACACCGGGGACGGTAGGGACTCCCTACCATCCCCGATGTTTGTGCGGCTCCCTACTAGGGAGCCGCACAAACTCCGGGGATGGCGGACAGGAGCCGCACAAACTCCGGGGATGGCGGACAGGAGCCGCACCTACACCGGGGATGGCGGACAGCAGCAGCACAAGCACCATCCGTTTGAATATGACAATCAGCAGTGCTTGGCGCTGATTTCTCAGTGGGCCCACAGGGGGCACCCTTTTTCCAGCGGTAGGCAGCTGGTGCAGCGGGCCGGGTAAGCGCAGTACGGACTGGAGTCGGCGCTCACCGGTCAGAGAGGAGTCCGAGCACCGGTCCACCGAACAGCGCGCCCGCAAGGTACAGAGTGGTCAGCAGCTGCGCCAGGTACCGGCGGCCACAAACCAGGCCCCACTGGAACACAGACCGCACACAGGGACAGATGGTCAGCAGCTGCGCCAGGTACCGGCGGCCACAAACCAGGCCCCACTGGAACACAGACCGCACACAGGCACAGATGGTCAGCAGCTGCGCCAGGTACCGGCGGCCGCACACCAGGCCCCACTGGAACACAGACCGCACACAGGCACAGATGGTCAGCAGCTGCGCCAGGTACCGGCGGCCACAAACCAGGCCCCACTGGAACACAGACCGCACACAGGGACAGATGGTCAGAAGCTGCGCCAGGTACCGGCGGCCGCACACCAGGCCCCACTGGAACACAGACCGCACACAGGTACAGCCCTCTGCAGACTGCGTGGTAGGTATTCTTTTTCCGACAAAACTGATAATAATTCAAAAGTCATGTTATCAGTCGGTCGAAACTCACTGCAAATAGATGCGCCATGCTCCACTCCTTCGATAGGGCCTATTAATAAACAAAGCATACGCCTTGTGTGGCAACAAAATGTAAGAGTTCGTTTTGGGGGCAAATATAAACTTTTGCGTTTTGTTGCCAAACTGGATGGAAAATGCATACGATGATAATGCCAATCTAAGCCGCGGAGTCTCGCGCATCTTGCTGTTACGATTTCCGAGTGCCCGATAGCATAGTATTCGCGTTATTCTCGGTTTTGTCGAAAAAAGAATACCTACCACGCAGTCTGCAGAGGGCTGTACATACAGAGTGGTCAGCAGCTGCGCCAGGTACCGGCGCGGCGGCCGCACACCAAGCGCCACGGGAACGCCTTTGGCTCTCGACGACGTTTACCTCTATAACCAGTTGTTTCGACTTGCATCGGCGAAAAGTCGCCGGGTGAGCCTGAGTAGGATGGACCCTCGAAACCCTCTTTCGACGTCATGGCTGAACTTTTGACATCACCATTGGGTACCTAACGTCCCTGTATTAAGTGGGGGCCTCCAAGCAACTAGCGGCCTCCAATCCTATAAACGTCCGTTATTAGCAAACCAAACACCACTAAGAAGGCCGAAAATCCTACCAAAAGCAATTTTGTAGGCGCGCAAGCTCGTTTATTATGTTTGGGAGGGATTAATTAGCCAAAAACGCTAAAGTTCATTAGCCCAGTCGGCGCCAGGGATACATTCCATTTCCAACTAACGCGGCCAGGGAGGGGTGGGGGTCATTCGGCTCCCTGTCTTACTCTGTAAAGAAAGGAGCTGCGGAAACATAAGCGGTACCAAATGAAATGGCTCATTGAGACGATTTTAACCCTCGCCCGTATTGGTGTTTTTCCAGCCGCGAGCGTATAAGGGGAGGGGTTCTGTTGGACCCCCTTGCCGTTTCGCCCCTTATCGAGCAATAGCTTCTCGAAAAAAACGAGCGTGTTGCCCGTGACGAGAGGAAGCCGATGATACCCAATTTTAACCCTCGCCGGCACAGATGGTCAGCAGCTGCGCCAGGTACAGGCGGCCGCACACCAGGCCCCACTGGAACACAGACCGCACACAGGGACAGATGGTCAGCAGCTGTGCCAAGTAGCTGCAACCCCCATAAGGTTTTTCGCGAATAACTCGCGTAAAAAGCGGCCGATCGCGACGAAACTTTCAGTACCCTCGCATTGATCAATTTTACACCTACCCTGAAAGACCCTGACACAAATGACCTTTGACCTGCGACCTCTTTTCCGAGACCATGTTTGGCCGGAATCGCGATTCGGCATATGTCGGCTCGCATTAGCCGCGCGTTTGCAAGCTTTTCGTGGTTTCAAACGTTCAAACATGTGATTTGATGCTGCTCCCATGCATTAGGGTGGGTGTCAAGGTCACCTGAAGGTCAGGTCAGGTCATTGACCTTTGGTTACCTCGGTTCACTTTTTCGAGTTTTACATGTTTCTAGGCTAGTTTTTGGAGCTGAATTCGAATTTAGCAACCATTTGAACATTTACGAACTAGTTTTGGTGCCTTCGTAACATGTTACGAAGCTGTCAGAGGCGGTTGACACGTATAACGAATACCCGTCACGACCCCTACCGGTTGACCTGACCTGACCTGACCCAACCTAGTCTAAATGCTTAAAGACATCATCTCTGATCAAAACTAATACGATATTCGTGATCAGCACCCCGGAAAACCCCATAGCAGCCACACTACGACTTTCTAACCGGTCCCGATTTTTCCGATTTTCGGGTCATTGACCTGACCTGGAAGGTCACCCGATGACCTAGGACCTTAAAATTGGATATCATCGGCTTCCTCTCGTGACGGGCAGCACGCTCGTTTTTTTCCGTAAAGCTCTAGCTCGATCAGGGGCGAAACGCGAGGGGGCTCGTACCAACCGGTAACCGGACAAAAAGTCAAATGAAAAAAAGACAAAAAGTCAACAGACAAAAAGTCAAATGCAAAAAGTCAAAAGGGATAAAAGTCAAATGGAAGAAAGTCAAAATGTATAAAAGTCAAAACGTCAAAAAGTCAAAACTAAAAAGTCAAAAGAGCATAAAGTCAAAATGGTAAAAAGTCGAAAAGGAGAAAAGTCAAACGTGAAAAAGTCAAAACGGATAAAAGTCAAAAACAAAAAGTCAAATACGGAAAAGTCAAAACAGATAAAAGTCAAAATATAAAAAGTCAAAATGGATAAAAGTCAAAACGTAAAAAGTCAAAAGTAAAAAGTCAAACCGACATAAAGTCAAAGAGATAAAAGTCAAATGGCAAAAAAAGTCAAAGAGACAAAAGTCAAATGGCAAAAGTCAAAAAATCATAAGTCAAATGGCAAAAAATAGTCAAAAGTCCCCTTTTATTACGTGTTTTTCAGAAAAATTATTTTGACACATCAATATGAAGACATTACCCCTTCAAAGTATGCATCATGCAATTGTTGATCGATTATTGTTGATCGGTTATATAACACCACTCAAAGGTCAGATCAGTCAGAGAAACTGTGGTCAAATCTTCCAGTTTTGGAAGCCTTTCATTTTTGGAAGGATTTTCCATATATAGGTAAGCAGCATAATATAACCATTGACTGTTACTTATTGAACGACCTGTCTAAAACTGATGTAATTAATCCAATTCATGCTTTGCATCACTTATAATGCTTCATATACACTATAAGACGTCCTGAATAAACGGAAACGTTGAAGGTAGGACACCTATGTACCCCATTATAGTTGAGGTCACGAACGGTCACCAGAGGTAAAAAAGGGTCAATGACCTTCCCCTGACTTCCTTTTACCTTGATAAGGTCACTCATGCTCCGAACTAGCCAGCAAAGTCTTTGTTGTGGTTGATATTTCCCAATCTCACGCGATAATCTGCGATTTTACGCACTTCTGGCTTGAGGCTGTACCTCTTTTAACGTCATAGCTCTGTGACCTGACATGACCCGGTCAATTATTTTTTTTTTCTTTTAAAGGTGCGCAAAGATGCAAAGATGTAGGAAATGCAAAATTTTGTCCCGCTCTGCTGATCAAAACTAATGGGGACTGCATCACCCCCCCCCCCATGCGAGGATTGATTCAGACCGGACGTAGTAGGCCTGGCGGGGAAAAGGGCACTACACCTTTTTGCGTTAGCTTTTGACCATTGGGCAAAACATTTGTACACATTCGCCATATAGATGGCGCTACAAATGGGCGGTTGGTCACAAAGAATCACCATTGTGCAAAACTATTCGGCGATCCTCCTCTACAACTCGACATTGAGCGAATGGTTCAACATTGTGCAAAACAAATCGTCAATGGTCGAAACTATTCGTCATTGAGCAGCCGGGAATTCATGATTGGCCAAAACCGTCTATGCATATTTCAGCATTCAGAAAAATAGATCAGCAATGATCGAAACAATTAATCGTGTGCACTGGCGGCCGCAGGGGACATGGAGCAGCTCATGGGGCCCAATCCTTGCCATTTCCCTCGGCATATAACCGAGTGGATGGTGGAACAAGCACACCGGGCGGTCGGTAAGTGTTCACTGGACGAGACCGGCGGCCTCAGCCTGCACACTCAGCGTATGGTTCGGCTGAGGCCGGGAAGTCATCATGTTTCTTTGGGCGTAAGTCCCACACCAAACATGTAAACAACACCTTGCGCTCATTCTAAGTCAGGTGAACGGTATTGCCCTGGGGCTCGAAATGAGATAGGCCTCATAAATTGGCGAAACCTTGCCCTCATGAGAGAGTTCCGGGATGCCAAGGCGACCGTCATGACAGATGTGCATAGTGTCCGTCAGGTTCCGCCATGAGGACAGTTTGTTTATTCCGGATGCGCCGATAGAGAGCTCGTCTTTGAATAGGCGAATTAATTGAAGTTTTTGTAAAGTGCCCATTGACCAACGTAGGCGTGCTAGGTTGTAATGGTATGGTGCATTGATGGAAATGACTTCAATGATTTCATTGAACATATTGAATTCAGCTGTGTGTTGTAGGTAGCACATTGCAAGCAAAAAAAAAAACGCGAAGGTAACGCATTGTTTTTTTCTTGCTGACCAAAGTGACGTCGTAGGCAATTTAAAACCAAAGTCCAAATCAAAATATGTCGGCTGCATTGATTGGTATCGCTCGCCGGTTAGATAAACGTATTGCATTTAATGTTGCTGAGCGTTTAGGAAGGCCTTAAATTAAATATTCATGATATATTTAATATGTATTTAATATGAAAATCTAATTTTAAGGCCTTCCTAAGCGCTCAGCAACACTTGTCAATCGATATACTTCTGTCCCGCATTGCATGTAAGCCTGACTGACAAATGACAAATACGTACTGTTCCATTTATAAAGAAATTATAACGAACGGCTGACTTATTGCTTAGAAATGCCCTAAATGTTCATGCTCAAGTGTTGATTAGTCGATGTGTGTTAAGTCCATTTGAAAAAAAAAACTAGCCCAGATATCGATTTATTCTGTTTTAAACATTGCTGAAGGGATATCACCAAATGCCGAGGAGTTTCGCTCATTGCCGAAGTCATGGTGAAGTGTCAAACTGTTTTGCAGATCGCTCATTTCAGTGTTCAATCTGTTTTGTCGAATGGCTGAAATGAAACACACGACGCCGGAATAGTTGTGCTCAATGCCGATTGTCGAAATGACTCCTCAAACAGTTATGGCCAATGGTTGAATCCAAATGCAAAAAGGTGTATTAAGTCGGATTCCTCGAAAACAGATGGTGAAAGGAGGCTGAAATTTGGGCAACAGACGTTCAACTTGATCCATCCAAGACGCATCGCAAAATTTTGAGATAAGTCAATTCACTGACATCTAACGTTTGACCTTGGAGCAGTAACGGCGGAACACCTTCAATTAAGGGGGGGGGGCACTGCCGGCTTTTGGTCCCATTCTTTCCATGCAACGCCCATAGGGCTAATGTTGTCAAAATCAAAGGGGGGCACGGTGCCCCGGTGCCCTCTCCGTTCCGTCGCCTATGCCTTGGAGAGCAAGAAGACTACCCACAACGGCAAGTGACCTAATCAAGGGTAAATGGTCATGGAATGGTCACGTTTTTGCTCTCAAAGTTCAAAGTTTTCCATATAACTTATTCCTGAATCTCGTATGAAATCAAATCCAAGTAGATAGACGTGCGACAAATGCTCTAAGACGTCGTCGACGTGGAAAGCTATGTGACACGTCGAAAGCTACTGAATGCTTCCGAAGTCACATTTCGTCATTGAACCACCATTCTTTAGATTTGTGCCATTGAAACTATTATTTTGTTCTGTTGACTCTTAAGCAATTATTATTTTTGTTTTTGACATTTTGTATTTGACTTTTTTGTATTTCCTTTTGACTTTTAGCGTCTTTGACTTTTTCCGTTTGACTTTCTACTTTTGACTTTCTGACATTTGGCTTTATATTTTTGATTGATAGCCTTTTTAACTTTTTTTTTGCATTTGTCTTTAAGCTTATTTGACTTTTTATCATTTGACTTTTATCTTTTTGACTTTTCGTGGTTTTGACTTTTTGCTTTTGACTATTTGCATTTTTGACTTTTTGCTTTTTGACTTTTTGTCTTTTGGCTTTTAGCGGATTTGACTTTTACCTTTTTGACTTTTTGTCTTTTGACTTTTTGTCTTTTGACTTTTTGTCATGTAATCACCATATTTCATATTCTTTTCTCGACAATGAGAACAATACTCGTGGATGGTATCTATACCTTGATCTCTCTTAGAGCCCAGGAACCGCATAAGCGGCGGCCAACAGCTTACTTCATGGAGGTCAGTTGGGCACATATGCATTTTGGTAAACTCAATCATGCACCATGTAATTAGATAAATAATATTATTCTGTTCGAATGAAATTTGAAGTTAAATTTTCGACCTAGCGCGACAAAAATAAAACTTATTGAAGAAAACATACAATGAACGCATCTTTTTACTGATCTAGGTTCAACGGACTGGTGGGTGGCTCGAACCTCCCGCTTAGGACGCCAGAATGTGCGTAGCATCTCAGCTCATAATTTTGCAAGAAAGCTTCCAATTGTCTATCTAGTGCATGCTTTAA